GTCTAGAGAAAAATGCCAAAGGTTGCCAGGAGTGGTTAACCCATTGTTGTAAGACTGCTCCGATTGCTGAGTCGGATGCGTCTACTGCGATACTAATGGGCGCTTCAGGGTCCTGATGAGCAAGCATGGTCGCTTGGGCGATCAGTTCCTTAACAGTGGAGAATGCTGTTCGCACAGTGTCATCCAGATTGATGGATTTCGCATTTCCACGAAATTGGCCGTTAAGAGGTTTCATAAGGGACGCGCATTTTTGTATGAACCGTCTGTAGAAACTTACCAGACCGTTAAACATGCGTAATTACTTGATGGTGGTCGGTTCTGGGTAATCCAGGATAGCCGCCACTTTGCTTCTAAGGGGTCGGATACCTTGCGCATCTATAGTGTGTCCTAAGAAGTATAAGGAGTCGGTTCCGATTTGGCATTTCTGAATGTTTACAGTAATGCCATGTTTTTGTAGTCGGTCGAAAACAAGGTCCAGATGCTCGAGATGCGATTCTTTGTCCGGCCTTATTATTAGGCAGTCATCAACATACGCATGTACGAAGTTGAGACCCGAATAAACGTCATCTATGAACCTTTGGAAGGTCTGTGCCGCGTTTCTCAGACCGAAAGGCATTCGCAAAAATTCATAGAGTCCGAAGATAGTTATAACAGCGGTTTTCGGAATGTCGTCAGTGGCCATAGGAATTTGGTTATGCGCTTTAACCAAGTCGATTTTCGAAAAGACAGTTGTACCTTTCAAGATAGCTGTCAAATCGTGAATGTGAGGCAATGGGTAACGATCGGGAATGGTTTTTGCATTCAGTCGTCGATAGTCACCAGTTGGACGTCAGTCGTTGCTGTCTTTTTTGGAGACTGCTACATAACACATACCAAGATGTTAAAATCATTTTCTACAGTTATATGTATATATATACCACCATATCATTATATTGCAGGAAATAAATCATAATCATGAGGAAGAGGCACATTTATGTGAAGATTTTACCAGAGACTAAGCTAAGATAACTTTACTACCTCTTGTACAGAGTTCCAATGTTTAGGCTGCCGTTATTCTTGCAAATATAGCTAATAGCATAAATAAGTACTATTATAAAGCGGTTACGAGAAAGCATTGGAAAGTACGATTCCGTAATCAAGATATCTTGATCTCAGGTGACCAGATTGTCTGAGATCGTATGTGATGATCTTCGAAAGGCCTGTCTAGCTTATGTGCTGATGCCGTAAATGACAATTAGGTATACCTTACGTGGGACTAAAATAAAATAGGCATCCATAATTGCATATTACACAGGACGATTCAAAGTAAGTTCACATAGTAGTCTTTATATATGTTCATTATCTAAGTTTCCGAAGTGTAACCTGTCCAAAGAACTAAATAATGCAAGTCATATATGTTGCGACCCAGGCTTCGCTAAGCAACGCCAGAGATAAAGCAAATAAACGTGACTGACTATCCGAAGAAAGGGTGTGCTAAATGCACTTCCGATCTGTAATTGAATACCGGTTTCTGTTTTTATACTAGTTTTTGGCAAACATTTATACTGGAATAATTATTTCCTGTCTATCTTATTTCCAGCTGGCTTCGCAAGTGTTCACAGACCTAACTGGAACAATTCTTAAGAATTGGAAGTTATTTATTAATGGATCATTTGTGTTGGATTTAAACTTTAATGAACGTTTTCATTTATAACTCATCAGTCTTTTACTTATCTATCGTGACAGGTCGAAATTCGACTTAGTAGTATAGTACACCATGTTCAAGGTTGCAGTATTTGGTAAACAGTCTGTATGACTAATCGCGTGTGCGCCAAACTGGCAATTATTACACAAGAACGCGAAACAACATCCCTGTCTCACAGCCATACAAGACTGAACAGTAACGCTATAATAATGAGTTAATGGCCACATAAATGAATTTATGTAAAAATAAAAAGATTACAATATTATAACTTCTTGTTATCAAGAAGCATAGCTATGGTCAATGTTAACAAAGGATCCTGACGATGTAGCTTCGTCATTAGCACCGATTGAACTCATCACTTGTGCGCATATGTCTTCGATGCTTTGAGGCATGAACGGATGAGTTTACTTGCCAAAGGTTCACTAAGAGCATGGATTGAGTGGTAGTTGTTTGTGAACTTCTCTAGCAGATCATCATCAAAAAGCATACATAACAGTGTGCCCTTGCCCAAGACTATCAGTCACCACTAGCTGGAACAGTGGGAAACTTTAAGATAATTTTATTGCTATTCGTTACTTACCCGTCGCACAGAACAAATATTTATTAACCACGCCTTCCGTGAGGTAATGTGTATGGACTCGATTTATCAGACCAACAAAGTTGATTCTAGGGGACTTCAATCTCCCTAGAGTCAATTTCGCGGAACATACGTATATTGGAGGTGAAAATTCAATCGAAGCTCGGTTCTTCAACCTCATTGAGGATTTGGGATTATACGAAAATGTGAAGTCGGCTACTCGTTGGAGGAACAGTCAGACACTGTCGCGCTTAGACTGTGTTTTTACAAATGAAGAATTTCCAGTTGACAAACCCTCAATTCTGGCGATCACGCCGTTATGGCCTTCAGTTTTGTCAGAAAAACCGAGCTAAGATATCCTAACAACAGGCGCTGGAATTTCAAACGGTTGAATGTGTCTGCTCTACAGGACTATCCACAACAGGTGGATTGGGATGTTCACCGTCAACTTGATGTGGGTGCTCATCGGGACTTCTTACTGGACACGCTCTTATGTGCTACAAAACAGTCAGTTCCTCAAACGGTCCCCGAAATCCACAAGCAACCTACAATCATCAACAATCACACTCTTCGTTTGCTAAGCCTCAAAAGGCACTGTTGGGCAGAATACAAACGAACTGACAACAACAGCGCTTACAGGCAACACAAACATATAAGGAACATATGTACGAAGGCTATAAGATAAGACAGACTTCAGTACCAGATAAAGCTTATGGATAAATTTATTTCCAATCCGAAAAGCTTATTCCGTTACTCAGCCTCTCTTCGTCAAGCCAAAACCGGAGTTTCTCAACTGCTAGGTCCTAACGGCCCGACCGATAACGACGGCGACGCTGCTTACATTCTGGCTGAGCAAAACCCCCGGACATTTCAACCGACCCACATCAACTATACTGATGACGGCTTTATCTGAAACTGCACAGGACTTCCCGTAGTGAACCTGAGCGCTGACTTGTTGCTCTGAAAACTACAGCACCTAAGAACAGATAATTCTCCTGGTCCAGATATGGTCCATTCTGCTATACTGAGGGAAGCAACTTCAATCCTGGAAACACCGCTTAGCATGATGTTCTCACACTCGCTAAGTCGAGGCGAACTACCGGAGAATTGGAAGCTGGCTCATATCACACCAATCTTTAAAGGAGGTCAACGCAGCAAATCTTCAAGTTACCGACCGGTGGCTCTTCTCTCTATACCTTCAAAATTCATGGAGTGCTTGATATACGATGGTATACATGACTATCTGCTGTCCTTAAATTTCTTCTCACCCCAACAGCATGGTTTCAGGAAGGGTTAATCCTGTATGACCAACCTGCTGACTGCGGTGGACAGATGGACAAGCATCGTTGATCGCAAGGAGAAGGTGGATTTCATTTACCTTGATTTCTCAAAAGCTTTTGATAGGGTTAACCACATACGTCTTATCAATAAGCTCAGACAATTGGGTATCAGACCACCCCTAATTGATTGGCTCAGTTCACATCTGACAAATAGACTTTTTAGGGTCAGGGTAAACTTCAGTTTATCACAGGCTATGGAATGTCCTAGTGGGTTCCCCCAGGGCTCAGCACTAGGACCTCTTCTCTTCCTGATTTATATAAGGGATCGTCCTCAACAGGTAACGTCAGACTTATTGCTTTTGCCGATGACGTGAAACTTTGGAGAGAGATACGCAACCAAGAGTACATACAGGCACTTCAGGAGGATCTGACTCGACTTCAAAGTTGGGAAGACGACAACGGACTTACCTTTAACACTTCAAAGTGTAAAGTAGTCCATCTGCGACACGTCGCAGACTACAGTTACAACTTAGGAAACTTCTCTCTAGTAGTCGAAAAAGCTTTAGGAGTGCTGATGCCCTACGACTTAAAGTCTTACGCTAACTGTGACAGAAATGCCTTTCGAGCAAACCTGGCACTGGTAACATTGAAGCGCATTTTTGGTCAGTTTGACGGAAGAACCTCCCACATAATCTTCAACAGTTTTATCCGTTCCCATTTAGAGTACGAAAACATAGTATTCCCTCCTGCACTCCAAAAGAATAAGAGCACTCTAGAGCGTATTCAACGGCGAGCCACGAAATTAGTTCGGGGACTCAAATTTAAACCTTATGAAGAGCGCCTCCAATCACTCGGCCTTTACCCATTTGAGTATAGGCGTCTTAGAGGTGACCTTCTAATGGCTTACAGTATCCTTAACACTTCTGGACATCCTCTTAAACACCTACTTAAGCTTAGTCCCAATATTAACCTAAGGGGTAACACCCAGAAATTAGAGATACAACATAGCAGAACGGACTGCAGGCACAACTTCTACTCCTTACGAGTTGTGTAATGCTGAAATTCGCTTGCGGCTGAGCTAGTCCAGGCGACTTCCCAGGAGTCCTTTAAGAGGCGACCTGATCTATTCTTAAGGACTAAGGATAGTATCTTACTATGATTTACCAGCTTCTTTTTTCTCTTTTATCGTTAATATACCTAGGTTCCTGACTAGACGTATTGGTGATCCCCTGCTACTAGACACAGAAGCCTGTTAAGCGAAAGCTTCTATTCCGTCTACAACAATTTGAACCATTTTGCATCAGCAATTGATTAAAGCTTCATCCATCAACGCATTGGAAATTACGTTGGATTAACTGAAAGAACGCCATTACCAGGACTAATACATGCTATTCAGCCTCATGTCTCGTCCAAACTGAAACTAATTTGAAATATTGTATTGTACCAACACAAAGCTTTTGATTGGCTGACTATCGGTGAGGGAATATTGAACTTCTCCATGTTTGTAGGCCATGTATGGTTTCACATCTGGACCTACTGTACAGTCTATTCCTGCGTTTCTGACTAAACTAAAGCTACTGGTGGATGATGAGGAAACAAACGATCTCATATATTGGGATCCGGTAAGATTAAGTTTGGTTAATGACTTCGTTCAGCACGGGACAAGTTTTCACATACGTGATGGAAACCGCTTAGCCAAAGAATTACTACCCCTTTATTTCAAACACAACAACTTATCTAGTTTTATAAGGCAGTTAAATATGTGTATGTGATTATCTTCTCTGAGTTTCCTTGTAGATGGTTTTAGAAAAATAAATCGTGTGGATCCGTCTCTTCCTTTAAAATCTGACACTGAAGACATGGAATTCAGTCATCCTTACTTCATCCGCAATAAAGATATTTTGCTATCCAAAATTCAGAGGCGGACCTCGAACATGTTCTCACCAATACTGGGGTCAAGAAATCAAAGTTTTGGTGTAAAAGTACCTTATGTTCAGGCTAATTCGGGTTTAAATGGTTCCCTAAGTGTATCACCCCAGAGACCAATAACTGCCACAGACTTCTTAAGACTGGCAGAGACTGTACGGCACTTGCGTTGTAATCAGGAGACTTTAAGCCAACAAATTAGTGTGTTAAAGTCGGAAAATCAGCTTTTATATCGTGAACTTTCTGATTTACGAGAACACCACGACAAGCAATCCCAACTTATTCAAACAGTAAGATATCTAATTGTTAACCGAAACATTTTAGCTCTTCACATTCCTGTCAGCGTTTGCAAAGGAAGGGAGGTCTGCAAGCGTGTGCATCGGACAGACAAAACGTAAAGCTCTTCCTTCTATTACTCCATCCGGTTCAAGATTTCAAAATAAGGAACTAAAGCTGGATCTTCGAAAAGGTATGTATCTTTTGTTGATATATGAGTAGGGAAGTCTGGTACTATAATGTCGTTATGCAGTTATCTACCCTTCGAACACTTGTATGCTTTAACTTATTTTATCTTCGTCCAGTCTGTTGATAAATGTAATATTCCGCTTGTTTATCACTTAAGGTTTTGTGCAAACAATAAGCTCACCAGTTGACCATGACACTGAAATATTGACACTAATCTTGCTGTTCTATGGAATTCATAATATTTGGAAGATCACATATAGGTATCGTTGGAAGATCAGGAAGTTGTTAAGATTTATTGTTGATCTACTTCAAGGTGATTATTTTCTATAGAATGGTTTTATTTGTTTTCTTGGCCTACATACAATACAGATTTCGTGATATCTATATGCACTGTGATATACACCGTGTTATCTTTCACTAACAACCAAAATTGGGACAGGTGTTTGGTACGGATATGACTTAGCTTTTGACCTCTGTCAGAAAGACGCGTACAAATTCTTCAGTGACTTACAAAGTGGTTGATACCCTAAGCATCCGGTTTATTTCGAGCAATAAAGTAAACGGGTTTATAGCAGTCCTACCTGCTGTATATTTTAACAAAACATGTATACATGAATTTGGTAGTAGCATCCTAACTACGTTAACCTGATAAGGTAAGTTACTTACTCTTTTTGCAGAAAACCCAGACATCATAATCCATATTGGCTGTTTCAATCATAAGTTGATTAAACATTTCTTTTGGCACTCACTGTTTTCAAATATATGAGTCAACCATCTTAGTGTTTTATTTATGAAGTCATAAATCTGTCTTTATTTTGGTTCAGGAAGTCGGGTGGTTTAACTAAATCTCGGTCGAGCGTAATACATGAACCCACACTCGGCTACTAAGTAAAAATTAGTCACAGCTAATTGAAGTACTAAGGGCAATTTTAGTTGAGTCACGACCTCATCTAAATTAATGCGTCTACTTGGCTTTCACTACTTAAGTGATGCCATATTCGGGTTTTATCTAACTCAATTACCAAGTGCATTTCCGTTTACAGGAATTGAAGTATAATTCTATCTGACTTCTAGAGTCTAAGTGCGTGATGTAGTGGCTCAAACTTAGAACCTATAATCTAAAAGCCGAGTACTTTAATCACTAATTCATCACCTCACGTTCCATGATCTACATAGGTTGCTAAGATACGAATAAAATCCCCACGAGATAGCGTCAGTTAAGTTACGAAAGTGATTTTTTCTTCATTTTATTAAAATATATCTTAAAGTAGTATTACATAAAACGGGAAGGTTGTTTAGCAATTTAGCAGTAGTCAGATGCTGATTTATCAACACTGCTATCATTGTCCTGATTAGTGTTATGAGTTTCAGGCTGTTATAATGCATCCTCCAATGCAACAAAACCCATTAATTCCTGATAGTAAATTGTATGACTTATAACGCGAACCTCACTAGCAGTTTATTCCCATCGTCTAGGCAGTAGTCACCTGTATCACCACTTATTTATATGTTTCGGCTTATGTGCACCTTGTGCACCCATTTCACGGATATAGTAAAAACTAACATTCAATCGAAATATGTGCTTCTCGTGCCAAACAAGGAACAGCATGATTTAAAGATAGTGTTACAAATGCAAAAGGAATTAAGTTCTGATCAGTCGCCTACAGCATCAAGAATGATAGTTTTTCGTCGAAAATTAAGTTAATTAGTGTGTTATCTGAAGTTCGAATGTCAAAAGTTCGTTCATTCTGGTCTTTATTACTGATTATCCTAACTTATAGGAAAGCCGACGGAGAATTCAATTCCTCAAGTGAAATTTCCGAAGTTTGACCACATGTTCATGACCCATGTGAATTAATATTATAAGGTCCATTAACGTATTATTAACACCTAGTTGTTAATTTCATGTGTGAATTAATCATAAAATTGGCCATAGAACTTCATTAACCTTGATACATAAATTGTCCATTACGGAAACAATATCGTGATTTTTAATGATAGGTGTATTATCCTAAACATACCTTTAGGTTTTCAAATTGAAAGGAACTCTGTTCAACCACTTCAACTTGTTCAAACTAGTGATTTGCTCGGACCACATAAGCGCCCCAAATTCGACTTACGAAATTTGTCTGCAAAAATAGGCAATACAAGTTCCGGTGCAAATATTACTGACCAGATTTCAGATATTGGATCAGTTGTTCATATTCTCCCTTCAAATCTTCAGCTTACTCCAGTGAATCTTGGTAATGACGGCAAATATGTATACTCTTTAACTGGTTCATCACAAGAGTGTGACGTAAATAGGCAAAGTTTTGTTGATAAAAATCCTGTGAATGTCCAAGATGAGCCGAGACATTATCTGTCTAAGGTAAGTAAACAGTTATTCTTCATGCCTTATTGTTTGTACATCTGTAAGGTGGTTTAAACGGATAGCTAACATTTCTAGCTTTACTGCTTGAAGTTGTAAAATGTTTGATCTCAAAATACTACATCGTCCCCCCTACTGATTCCTAAAACGAAGTGATATGTGAAAAGTAAGTAATCAGCACAACAAAAAGTGCCCATGAAATATCGTGTGGCCGAGACCGTACAACTATTCCTTTAGTTCTGTAATCATGCTCCTGGGTTACTGAAAATCCTCAACACTAGTCCCTTTTCCTTCCCGAATTCCTTATAAAGAAATATTCCTATTTATTATGGTCAACCGGGAAGTATCGACCGCCATTATTCGCATGAAAACTGTTATCTGAACCGGAAACACCAGGCCGGTGTTCGTCAAAGCTGCTGACTTTCCTGATTTTCATGTAACTTTGTCATAGGTATTCTTTCAAATATAGCTCGTTCTTCGTCTAACTTTTCAAGAATTAATATCTTACAACGATATATACGCATCGATTTCGAGTGTACCTATGGCTGTCCTGTTTTCCTTGAGTAACAATCCAGTCATATTCAGGTTCCATTTCTTTCCTTCTAAATGTAACTTGTTGCTTCAGGACTGGTGTGTGTCAATCCCTAGTCTGACCATAGGAAGTGAAATAAAGGAGCTCGATTACCGTTTGGTATCTTTTCAACTTTAGTAGGTTAGAGCCTAACAAACTCCGATACAGATTCAGAAAGCTTACTTAACTTCCACCGATTTGGGTAACCCGTGGGATAGGTAAGATTTCCGTCTACCGACGAAACGTTAATTATACCGCTCAACAGTCCTCTCCGCTTTAATTTATGGTTGTGGCCATTAAAGGTAGGGAATACTCGTAAGTTACAAGTATTTGACCACAGATGTCTTAGAAATATTGCCCGCATCTTCTGGGATCACCGGGTAAGTAATAGTGAGGTTAAACGTTAGGTATTAGGGAATGATGGTTAGTCAGTTGGTGAGGTTGTTAATCTTCATCAACTGAGATGGTTGGTTCAGGCATTGCGCATACCTAACAACCGATTACCACGGCGCATAATGCTGACTAGTGTTGGAGACGGTTGGAAGAAAGTTAGGATCAGGCAAACCAAAACGTGACATCAGTGCTTGAAGTCACTAACTTCCTGTCTTAGCTATGTTGGCAGATGCAGACTACTTGGTTGTGGTCCGTGCGACTATCGTAACCAATGGTTGGAGACTCTTGATGACATGGCTCAAAATCGATCACAATGGCGTAGGTGCATACGCTTTCTGTCTTCCCTTAAACCGTACGATAGAAATTGCTTTATACCTTTCTACGAATTAATTCTTTCTTCCTGTATTACATCCTTATATTCAATCTTTCTTTTATGTATTACTACCATTGAAGTAACTACTATAAATTTGGTGTTCCTCTTGTTGTACTAATGAGGTGTGCCGACTTGGAGCGATGCATATATGTGCCTGGTCCTACGTTGTAGCTGACTTACTGCAAAACGTGGCCTATGAAAACAGTTGTCCATAAGCTGCAGGATTTTGATATGTCTTTTCAAAGCATCGCTTGCGTATTATGTAATAAATGAGTAAGTAGTACTGAGATTAGATATAAATTATTAAGCAAAGATCGCATATTGGTTGATGAGACTATTGATTTTCGTCGACTGAGGTGGTTTAGTATTTGACTTGTTCGAATTTCAGCCACTAAGTCCCTGGTACGAACACCTCTCCACCTAACTTGGTCTGAGTAACCGGATATCATTAACTCTAACAGTGGCTCATATCCAAGTACCTGATGAATGAGTAGCTATATTTTATACCATATACATCGACTTTCAATTTTTGCTGACATAAGAGTAAATTAAGAAAATATACAGTGGTTGGGAAATCATGATATGAGATCAGCCCGTGAGGTCGTTGGCTGTTGGTCTGAGCATTATTGAAAGGTGCAAGATTCCTGGTCGGTGTTTAAAAATATTTGCTTACGTGGTGCAAAGTAGCTCACTTTTGTTCTCTGTCTTCCCGTAAATCCTGAGTTGGTTTCTCAAAGAAATCAGAAATCTTTTTTTTCACTAGTAATTGTTTACCACCTATCACCCTTTTCATTTCTAACTACAAGATTCCACTTATAACAATTTAATCTTATTCCTATTTCCAAACCAAAGGTGGACGATAATTTCATACATCCCACAAATGACGAAGAGTTTCCTGTAGGCCTTAATGTTGAAGAAGACGGTGTTACAGATGTGAATAATTCTATTTTAGAGTTAAACTGGCCATATAGTAGGTCAGATACACCTTATTGTCTAACTGATTCTCCTGGCTTGAGTGACGTAATACCTTCAAAGTTAGATGGTGTAACAGATGAAAGTATTTGTGACCTGCTTCTTAACTGTGACTCACAAACCGAACAAGTAGTCGGTAACAATCAGTCTCTCTCAGAATCTACCATTTCAAAATACAAGTAAGTCTTCAACCTATCAACACAGTAACTCAATTTTCATCCGTAAGTTTTGTGGTTAACATAGTTCTACTAATTGTAAATCTTTTTATTTTAACCTGTAAGCAACTTAGAACCATGTCCAAATGTGCATCAAAATAAGTTGTCTTAAAGTCAAAATAGTTTATTCCTTGGTGTCATTATGAAATCCTTAAACGTGTTTTGATGCACTTTGAGGTAACATTGTTTTTCACTTAACAACACTAAAGAACTTCCCTTGCACATGAAATGTATGGTTGTTATTTGTGTCGTTTTCAGGAAGGAGCCAATAAGAAAACAGCATAAAATTCAGAACAGACCCCGTTGTATCGTACCTTTTACTGAAAGCGATCCTCAATTTACTTCCACAACTCTCCAGGACATTGACAGTCTTCCATGGGAGAAGTATCAAGATAGTGGTTTTGACTTTAACCTCGGTGAGTATTCCATTCCACTTGAAAAGATTACAAGTCTAGATGTTGAACAAAATCAAACAGAAAATTCCAGCAGTTCTTCAAATGGTCTTATAGTCGGTACGTATAAGTAGTCTTTTGATGTTAACCTATGGTTGGTGAATATACTTCTCTAATATTCCTCTAAATCATTTTTTAGTTAGAAATCTAATACTAGAACCAGAACCAGAACGTGGCATCAGTGCCTGAAGTCACTAACTTCTGGTCTTAGCCATGTTGGTAGATACAGACTACCTGGTTGGGGTCGGCGTGACTATCGTAACCAATGGTTGGAGACTCTTGGTGACATGGCCCAGAATCGATCACAATGGCGTCGGTGCATACACTCTGTCTTCCCTCAAATTAAGTGATTAAAATCGCTTCATGTCTTTCTTTTTACCAACTAATTCTATCTTCCTGTACTATCTCTTTATATGCAATCTTTCTTTTATATATTACCACCACTGAATTAACTACTTCTGTGATACCGGTGTTCATCTTGTTGTGCTAATGAGGTATGGCAACTTGGATCGATGCATATATGTGCCTGGTCCTACGTTGCAGCTGACTGATTGACTGAGATATTGAAATCTTAGTTTAAAATTGATAATTAAGCCCACACACCAATCAAGTGACTTGTGTGGCGCATATGTATTCGGTGCCCCTTTGTACCAATATTTATGTGTTCAAATAAATAAATGAAATGAAGTCCATTAGTTGTTTCTCCTGAAAATAAAGAATCGTAAAAAAGCTTGCTGTTTCGTAGATATTTGGAGTCCATTTCTACACAGTTTATTTTATTAGCTTTCATAACCGACTCATGTTGTTTAACTTACTGGTGTTTAATTATTTCTCAGTTTTATATGATGTTTCATGCGAATGATTCGTTCAGTTTTCCAATGAATTTTCAACAGCTTGGATGTTATGATATCTCAGCACTTCACCATCAGATTGCTTTTGCAGCATAATCAAGCTTTTTTATTTTTACTAAAAGCCAAGGTTTTATTATTGAAGTATGCTGTATTTAATGTGAGCTGTTTACATCCATACCAATTAATTTATTGGCTGACGTTTTTGTTGTAGGTAGAATCGAAACTCTAAAAATATTTGACCACTTACAACGTGTTTCCATAAACCTGTAATTTGCCTTTGGACATTGAATGATATGCATTTCTTTGGATTCTTTTAAATTGTCAATGTGATATTTTCTTTTCATGCATAGGCAATGAAATTATTCCTGTAGAACCCGTTAATTTAAACGCATGTGATGATGTTATCCAGTTCTTGAGGTCAGAAATTCCTGACAAGAAGTTAAAATCAGATGAATCATTAAAAACTGTTGCAACGACTGAGGCACATACCTCTACTCAAAATGGTGCTATTGATTTAACAAGCAGTTCATCTACGCCAACTACCTGGAAAGCTAGACTTTCTGCCAACAATCGGCTCACAATATCCGCCTCTCCCAAAGTTAAACGAAAACAAGTACCAGTTTTGATCCACAGACAATCAATCACCCCTCTTTCAACTCCTGATTTTTGTGAGGAAGGATTGGAATAATGTACAACCCAAGTTAGTCCTTTGAAATATTTCTTTTGTAGATACGATAACTTGTGATTGTTTTTATTGTATTTACTATATTTATGAAGTTTTTGTGTTTATGCACGTGGACTGCGTTAACACCTGAACTAAGGATAGGGAGTAAAGTAGTCGAACGCGTTGACAACTTCACTTATCTTGGAAGTCTGTTCAGCCCTAATGGGTTGGTATCTGATGAAATCTCAGCACGGATTCGAAGATCTCGTTTGGCTTCTGCCAACTTACGTCACCTATGGCGCAGGCGAGATATCCGTCTATCAATTAAGGGGCGAGTATACTGCGCGGCAGTTCGTTCCGTTCTACTATACGGCTGCGAAACATGGCCATTAAGAGTTGAAGATACCCGTAAGTTACTAGTATTTGACCACAGATGCTTTAGGAATATTGCGGGTATCTGCTGGCATCAGCGGGTAAGTAATAGTGAGGTTAGACGTAAGGTATTGGGGAATGATGGTTAGTCAGTTAATGAGGTTATGAATCTTCATCGACTGAGATGGTTGGGCCACGTGTTGTGTATGCCTGAACACCGATTACCACGACGCGCAATGCTCACTGGTGTTAGGAATAATAATAAGAAAGTTAGGGGCGGCCAAACCAAAACGTGGCATCAGTGCTTGAAGTCACTAACTTCTGGTCTTAGCCATGTTGGTAGCAACAGACTACCTGGTTGGGGTCGGCGTGACTATCGTAACCAATGGTTGGAGACTCTTGGTGACATGGCCCAGAATCGATCACAATGGCGTCGGTGCATACACTCTGTCTTCCCTCAAATTAAGTGATTAAAATCGCTTCATGTCTTTCTTTCTACCAACTAATTCTATCTTCCTGTACTATCTCTTTATATGCAATCTTTCTTTTATATATTACCACCACTGAATTAACTACTTCTGTGATACCGGTGTTCATCTTGTTGTGCTAATGAGGTATGGCAACTTGGATCGATGCATATATGTGCCTGTTCCTACGTTGCAGCTGACTGACTGACGTGGTACACTAGACAAGTTTATCAGCTTGAGCTCCAGTGCTCATGAGGGAAATCTTCTATTCACTCAGGAATGCAATACCCCACCTCTGAGCGACATCGAATTTTTGCAAAAGCTACATCGACCAGTACATATGCCCGAAGTTATTTTTGTTTCTTGAAATCTGTGTACTTCTAAGTATATATCAAGCATTTCAACCCTATTTCCCGATTTCATATTTTGAACTAGTAATTTTAATAATAATAATTCACACATCGTACGACTTTTTCTTACGCGAAACAACTTTGTGTTTTTACTTTTACAGCGCTCTTCATTTCATTGTAATTTCTACACACAGTAGTTTCCCAAAGAATTTCTTCACGATAAAGATTCGCCAAAGTAATATATCATGAACCGCTTCTACGAAACCATTTTTCCCCACATAAAAGTTTTCTTGTAAGCTCTGTCATAAACAGCGAGTTTCACGATCATGTTGGACGAATACGAATTCAAAGACCATACACGATTGTTTTTTCGATGAATAACCAAGTTTTAAACATTTCTCCGGTGTGTTTATTGATTAGTCCTATCTGTTCATGCAGATTTTAATATATGGTGTTTTACAAAGTATAAAGACAGTGTACCAGATTCTATTAAACAATAATTAATATCGACGTTTTTTTCTGCTTCTTATTTATTTTTGGATGTAATCATTTAAAGAAACTAGATTATGCTTCCCTTACAGTAATTCCTTAGTTAGAACAGACTCAAATTACAGTTTGTATTCTAATTAGTTATTATTCAAAGTTATCCGTCTTCTAGTCGATATATATATATATATATATATATATATATATATATATATATATATATATATATATATATATATATATAATGATAATGTATGGAACTGGCCAGTGAGCGAAGCAAAGTTCTAGAAATAAAGATATATTAATATGTTGAGTTTAGATTTGTAACGACAAAACTAGTTTTGATGGATTTCATCTATTTATAATGAGTGGGACAAAGTGAAGGTTTATTCTGGTTACTAACATCAGTTCATCATTTAAAAAGCTTAAGTCTTACTTACGCCTATTATTCCCAATGGAGCATAGACCGCCGACCAGCATTCTCCAACCCACTCTGTCCTGGACCTTCCTCTCTAGTTCTATCCAATTGTTGTTCATTCTCATGTCTGTCTCCATTTCTCGGCGTAATGTGTTCTCCGATCTTCCTCTTTTCCTTTGGCTTTGAGGATTCCAAGTGAGAGCTTGTATTGTGACGTAGTTAGGTGCTTTCCTTAATGTGTGTCTTATCCACTTCCTGATTTTCTCCGCTGAGATCTGGTTTGTTCTCTCCCACAGTAGATTGTTACTAATAGTGTCTGGCCAACTTAAGGCTAGTAAGTACTAATGATTCGAAGTGTATGCATATGGTTTACGTTAATTTCCTCGAAGTACCGGACACCCTGTTATTTTTTTCATCACTTTGTTACTTACTTTTGTTGAGGGTCTGTTTTACTTTAGATCTGAGTAAAACTGATCAATTTTAAGTAAATTATTATTAAGCTTTGTTCGCTTAGAATTGCAAATTATCCTGAAGAATGTTTGCGTAAAATTATCACTATGTGTAATGTGATATCATCATGTAGCGGTCGGACACTTTCTGATTCCACTCAGCTAACATCGACTAGATACCAGTCAGCATGTCGATCAGATTAAAATATTGTAGTGTTCTGGGTGGTCGTGTGCCATTTCGCAGTATGTGGATATCATGAACGCGAGTGCATTTTTCTGCGGGCTGATCATTTGGAGAGTGAAGAATATTTAGAAACATACTTGAAGTTGTCACGACTTCCCCCATACGGTGGTTAATTCTATCTGTGCCATGTGGATAACTAGATTACAAAACTACTGAAACACAGTAATGGACTATGAAATCTTATTTACATTAGTTCTTGACGGTTAAGGCTAAAATGCTCCCAAGCGACTAGTAATCAATCTAGAACTACCTTATAAAATTCTTTTTTTCCAATAAGATAACTCAAACAGATGGAGGCACTTAAGCACTCCTAATTATTGAAGATTATATAGAACAGTCAGTCAGTAACAACGTACGTACGTACATCAGTTCGAGTTGCCATACCACATTAGCACAGAGATTCAGTTATCGATTCAAATCCCATAGTGGTAGAGGTACTGAAAGTATAAGTAGAGATAGGGGACATTAAGGTTTGATGATGTTATTAAAGGAGTATAGTCCAGTGGAATAAATTGGGAAAGAAAATAAAGGACATGAAGAATTCAGAAGATTAGAGTTTGAGAGAACACAAAGAGTGGATGCACCTGCGCCATTGCAAACGATTTTGAGCCATGTCATTCAAGGTCTCTAACCATCGGTTGCTATCGTCTCGCGGTCCCCAACCAGGTAGTCTACACCTACCAACATGGCTCAGTCCACTTGTCAGTGACTTCATGGATTTGTGCCATGTTTTGATCTGGCCGCCCCTAGCTTTCTTCCAACCTACTCCTACACCATAAAACATAGCACGTCAGGGCAGTCGGTGGTCGGGCATGCGCAGCATATGTCCCAGCAATCTCAACTGATTAAGTTTCACTACTTCCTCAATTGATTAGCCATCCTTACCTAGTACCCGTTTCCTAACAACTGAGTTACTTACTCGGTGGTCCCAGGATATACGAGCGATGTTTCGAAGACACCTATGGTCAAATACTAGTAACCTACGGATGTCCTCTTCTCTCACCGGTCATGTTTCACTGCCATAAATTAGGACGGAACGAACTGCTGCTCAGTAAACACGTCCTTTGGTTGATGGACGGACATCTCGCCTACGCCACAAATGACGCAAGTTGGCAAAAACTAGTAGAGCCTTCTGTATCCGTGCTGAGATTTCGTCACACACCAGACCACAAGGGCTGATGAGACTTCCAAGATAAGTGAAGCGGTCGACAGGCTCAACTACTTCACTCCTTATTGCTAGTTCAGGTGGCGGTGCAACCCAATCCTGAAGCAACATTTTGCATTTCGAGGGAGAAAATCGCATGCCGAACATGCCTGCATTGTTGCTTAGAGTGGTCAGCAGACTCTGCATTTTGTCAGCGTCTTCACCAAATAGAACTATGTAATCGGCGTATTCTAAGTCAACAAGTGAATCTTTCGGTAGAAGTCCAACCCTTGGAAATTTAGATGTGGAAAGTGTTATTTCTAAAATCATGTCAACGACAAAGTTAAACGAGAGCGGACAGCCCTGACGAACACCACTTGAGGTAATCAGTTCTGATGACGGTTTGCCATAAGCTTTCACTCGACCAGTTGTGTTAGAGTAGAGAGTGTTTATACACTTAATGTACTTCGGTACTTCTTTCAGTGACAAACACTGCCATAGAACCACACGATCAACAGCTGAGTGTGATGTTATCAATGTGGAAAATGTTTTTCAGTATTGGAATAAATGATTCAGAAACACTCGGTTAACAATTTAATAGCAATAATACTGTAAGATTTCACCTTGAAGTCCTCCATTCTTATCTGGTTTTCGTACAAAAAATTGAAATTTACCCTCAATTTTTCTTTCAAATGAAATATATCTCTAGCTTCACCATTGACTTCACATTTTTCCACTGAATCCCAACTGTTAAACTTAAGAGTTTAACTAAAATATGTAAATACCTTGTCAACATATGTATTCTAATTTTTCCTACATAACTCCCTCTACTAAGAAACTCCTTACACATGATGTAGAGTAATACTTAGAACGACCCACTGTTTTGGAAACTACTAGTTAAGCGAAATGGGAAAAATTATTTGATGGGATGGACATTTTCAACAAAACATTTTTCGTATTAGCTTTACAATTACATTCAACAATATTTATGCAGTTATCGTAGTTCGTTTTTATAAAGAATTGTTTGTTACATGGGAAAGAAAGGGAGGCTAAGAATATTTTTATACATTTAAAAACATCATAAATAAACAATGGGCAGTATCAATAACAATAAAAGTACAAATGACTATGTTTATCAGCAAAGGAAATCACGGTTTTTGAAAGCGTTTGTTAGGTAGAACTTCTGACAATTAAAGAAAATAAAAAGAGGTTTTTCTTATGTTTATGTTTTCCGGTTCGTAATCTTCGATATCTATTGCCTCCTCTGTACTTGGTAAACGGAAGCACGTAAATCTGGAAAAAGCATTGTTTCCGTGTATGTTATATCAAAAGTTGACTTTTGATGTGTTTACTAATCTCAACTTCCTATAGATTTGCTGGCCCATTTATTTAACAACAATGAACACTTTCACGTAGCTTTTTACATACGACACATATATTTTATAAATACTGTTATATCCCGATGAGAATAATGAATGGTAACTGTTAGGTTCTACACTATATTTCTATCGTATGATTGTTAAGTAACTAAACTATTCATATTTGTGTTCCTCTTATTAAAAGCTTTATTTTGACCTATGAACTATTATTATACGATTTACCATTCTTGAGTTATGCCCGGTTTAGTAATTACCGTCTCCCTCATTCACAGCCACATTTGGCTATATCTTGTACAAATATTATTTTCTGTTTTGTGGCACGATGTGGTCTGTTTGGTTGGTATATAAACCCAGTCTGTTTAAAATAAATGATTCATATCGCGGAGGATGAGATTGATGTTATGGATTCAACAGACAGGGCTGGGCGGGGAAGCAGGACCAGTAAACACTGTAGACTGCTCGTACTGGTTTTATGCGTCATTGGTCCGGTCGGTAAATCACTGTTCTCTAATAGGCGGTATCATTACGTTATACATTAATAGGGCACAAACCCACAAGTTATAACAAATACATCTAGTAGTGGTTGGATTCAGTAGCCTTTTGTTTGTCTCGGTTGATAGCAAGTGACAAAATTATGTCTGAGTTCAAATGAAACGGCAACTAGTATTTTTATATCAACTGTTAAGATGTTTGTTTCAAAGTAATTTTCTGAATCCACAAACAAATATTTTTATCTAGTTACCTCGACAGTTAGCATCAGTTGCACTTCAGTTCCATCATATTTTCGTTTCATTATTGATATGGGCAAATTTAAAAAAGATAATTCTGCCTCATCTAGGCCCAAGTATGTTTATTCTTGTGTCAGCTGTTTTGTTTACCATTTTACTAGAAAAAAAGAAGCGATTCATTTCTAATCAGTCTTGCTTTTACATATTCATTCATCCAAGGCTTTAAGTCGATTATTTGAATATGGGGAATAGTTCTCGGTTGGCCATACTACTTATATTAATGCAAACGATAGATCACGTACAAAAGTCATATTTTCCCTCTATTTTAAGAACTTAGGCCAATAGTAGTGACAGCAACGAAAACTTTCATTTATATGTCAGATAACGCGACTCTGTTCTGGGAAAATCTACGAAGCTATGAGATTTCGAGCCTAACGCTTAACCTTGCTCTAAATAAATCTTAAAAAACGTAGACGTAACTCTCAAAAGATTGGTCAAATATAGACATTTTGATGACTGTTTCTCTAAACTTTTGTTAAATGAATACCTAATTTTCTATCTCTCTCCCTAACTTCAACATAATTTATAAACATAGGATGTGACTAATTCAGTACATAATCAGTCTCAAGCTGACATTTTTATACATTTCTCCCAAGCTCAGACTGTTTGATGTTAAC